CACTAGTGAAAATTGAATTATTGATATCAAAAATGAACATTGTTACTAGTAGCAATTCAATTGTTGATATCAAGAATAGACATTTCAACTAGTGACAATTTAATTCTTGATATCAAAAATAAAGGTTTTTACTAGTAAGAATTGTATTTCTGATATGTGAAATTGGAATTTCAACTAGTAAAAAATCTATTCTTGATATCAACAATTGATTTTGAATGGCAGCCTATGGTGACATTTCACTAGTAAAAATACAATTACAGATATCAAGAATTATAGTTTTTACTAGTTGCAATTCAATTGTTGATATCAAGAATTATCATTTTAACTAGTGAAAATGTAAATGTTGATGTCAAGAATTTGAATTGTTACTAGTGAAAATGTAATTCCTGATATCAAAAATTGCCATTGTTACTAGTAGAAATATTATTCCTGATATCATTAATTATAATTTTAACTAGTGAAAATTGAATTGTTGATATCAAGTATTCATATCCTTGAAATGAATAAAAGTTAAAACGGCTTGCCATACTGTGATCCTCCCGAAACATCTTCTACACTGATAAATATTACTAGATCTCAGGACTCGCATATCAAAGCGCAAAAATGACCAACAGTGCAAATAAACATGTTCTGCTTCTCACACAAGATTAGTCAGTCTGAAGGGTCATTAGATGATTCTCATGAGAGCTCATCAGAAGTCCATCACAAACCCAGAAGTCATTTGGAAGAGTTGCAGGAAGCTCATTAAAGTATGTTTACATTTCAGCGTTAGTAATTGGGAACAAGAGCCTGTGTTATTTAAAGAAAAAGGCCAACGTCAACATAACGGAAATTCTCTGCCGCCAGGGTGAGAGTTCGGGAATTATTTCACTTCTGATAGGCTGTTTTGAGGAGAAGAGTCTGAGCAGACATATCCGGCATTCTTTGCACTGTTGTAAGGAAAACAAACTGCTTTAGAACAAAACAAGAGAGGAATATTCTTCCAATATTTCCTGTCAAATGCACATGCATTCATGGCACTTCAAAGTGTCGGATTTAGTTCATATTGTGTTCTATGCATATGACAGATGACACAGACACAAAATGGGATCTTAAAGCACAGCACAGGTGGCACTGACATAGAGAATTGATCCAAAATCTTGTGTGTGAGCTATAGTAGAAAGGTAAACTAGGTCAGACACTCTAAAGCAGTGACAGCTGTCATTCACAGCCACACATGTTAATAAAATGCAGGTCCATTCACTGACAACCACTAAATCGCTGAAGGTCGGCAAGCCACTGTATGTCTCTGTGAATCAGGCGTTTGCTAAGAATTTGCATAAAACCCTTCTCAATGTCATTACATCGTCAGTGGTTTATGTAGCGTATGTCACCTCAGTCTGCCAACTCTTAAATGACTTCTGGTAGCTTTTTCTTCTTCTAATAGCTGTCAATGTGAACCTTTTACTGAGAAGCATTAAAAGGTTTTATGACCGCATCAGAAAAAGTGAATTGGTGAGTAAAATCTATGTGAATCAAACTGGACTACACAAACTATACATTAATGAGGAAAAAAAGGGAATTGCTAAAAACACTTGCAAGCGTGGAATAGTTGACACAAAAATAAAAATTGTCATCATTTACTCACAATATGTTGTTCCAAACCTGTATGACTCTTTCTGCTGTGGAAAAGAAAGTTTTGGTGAACACTGACACCACTGACAATTCTCAAAATGTCATCATGTTCCACAGATGAAAAAGTCATACTGTTTTGAAACAACATCAGTGTTGAGTAAATGATGACAGAATTGTCATTTTTAGGTAAAACTTTCCATTTAAAACGTCCCAAAAAATGCAGTGACAGTCTTACCATTTGAATTGCTTGGCTCCCATTTTGGCACTAGAGTTTCTAGCCCTCTGCACTACGTTTATTCATCAATAGAACATCAAGAAGTTTAGGAATCACCATCGTTCTTACAGAAAACTTCTTTAGAGTCCTGTCTCAGCACACAGCGTCTACAGCGTTACCACTAACTAGCTCCTCTTTATCACCACGCTTGGAACTGACAGCAGATCCTATCCGCAAGTTCAAAGCCTCTTCAGATGCACTTGTTGTTGTCCATATGGAAATCCTGTTTTCAATCCGTCTACAGTGACAGGAGAGAGCGACACTGCTCTGTCACCAAGGCAGCTGCATCCTTCCCCCTCCTCTCCTTCTCTCTCCGGCTGTGTGTTGGGCTAATTATTCCTCTTCTCAGTTCAACCTGTTCACAGGCGACTGCTTCACTCCGTAAAGCTCTCCATCGCTGAGATCTGCATGTCCCTGTCTAGTTCTTGTGCTCCCTCCCTCACTAGCTCCTCTTTTTCTGTGCGAAGATGTCAGACTCGGTCCGGCCTTCCTCTGTTTACCCTCCCCCTCCAGCCCTCCCTCTATTTTGTCTTCTTTTTCTCTGCCCTGCCTCTCTCCCCATCTGTTAGAATCAGTATTTTGATGGAGGGGAGCTGGTACATGGACTGTCTGGCTTGTAGATAGGCACAGATCTGCTATGGACAGTTTGCACTTCTAATTGAACATGACATTCAGGTGTGTATATATACATATATCAGGCTTTATATACAGTATCTCACAAAACTGAGTACACCCCTCACATTTTAGTATATCTTCTCAAGGGACAATACTATAGAAATGAAACTTGGATAGATTTAGAGTAGTCAATGTGCTGCTTGTATAGCAGTATTATTTACTGTCCTCTGAAAATAACTCAACATTCAGCCATTATTGTCAAAATAGCTGGCAACAAAAGTGAGTACACCCTACGTAATAATAGCTGTACACCGTTTAACCATGCAAAGCCACATGTCCTATTCATCATTTTCATGTTTTTGTCTGCTTGACAGGACCATACAAATTTGTGTATCTTGTATTAGAGCAGTTAAAATTTGTGCTTTGAGTACAATTCTCTCATACTGACCACTGGATGTTCAACATGGCACCTCATGGCAAAGAACTCTCTAAGGATTTGAGAATTAGAATTGTTGCTCTCCACAAAGATGGCCTAGGCTATAAGAAGATTGGTAACACCCTGAAACTGAGTTACAGTACAGGCCTGCATTACTTTTTTGCCCATATCAGCTAATACTATTTGCATATATATATATATATATAAAAGGGTCAATTACAAAGTTTATAAAAGCATTTAAGTTTAAGCATGACTTCAAATGTACCTTCATCTTGGCCCTTATAACAACTGTAAATAACCATCAACTAGCCTACAGGGCAGTGAGCTATTCAGATCAGTCAAGATTTGACTGATCGAGTGCCTCTTAACTTCAGCACAAGTCACTGACCTAGACAACGTCCTAGAATAGTTTCTTACATAACACTCATGTTATGTGAATACATTTAAAGGGGTCATGAACTGCATTTTTATTATTATTATTTTATAATGTTTTCTAAGGTGCACTTAGTATGATTTTTACATAAAAAAAAAAAATCACATAATTTAGAAATAAAAGGCCATTTTCTACCCTGATTTTAGCCCTCTGATTTGAACGCTCTGTTTAAAGGGGGCGTGTCTGCTGTGAGACTTCAGTGTAGACGCCCACTGATGTGATTGGCTAACATCTTTGCATATTACATTACAAGTATTACATGTGGAACTCTCTCAGACTTTTACTACGTTTTTACAATTACAGCTGTTGAGACTAACTAATTGTGAAAAGTGTTGATTATAGCATTATATTTAGATTTACTCCCATCGCATGACAGGTTGCAGTGATGAGCATGTAGCCGATCACAGACATGTTGAGCGCATGAATGCAGTGATCTCGTCATTGCAACTCGATTTCTGCACTCTCACGAATGCCTTCATCAAGACTAACATTGCAAACACGATGTAAATAAGAGATTTCAAAGACTCCACAATGAAATGTACCGAACAAACAAATAATGCCCAACTGAGACATTTAGGAAGTAAAAAAAATGCTTTCCTAGCATTTGGATCCTTTGGAAGGTAATGTTATATTTAGTCCAGTGATCCTGTCTCTATCTTCTCTCATCTAACACGTCAGTGGGCGGGGCCAAAGATGTGATGATGTAGAAGTAGGCGCTGATCTGCAGAGGCAGTCTTTCGTCACACCATTATGTCTTAAAATCCGGAAAAAGTCGTTTTTTGAGCTTGGATTCATTAAAAGAAGTTTTTGGACTAATGAGGAAGTTTTGAATTCTGAAACTTATAGGATGTATTTTATAGTACAATGACCTCTTATATGTCGAAAGATCAAGGAAAATTAGATTTCTCGATTCGTGACCCCTTTAAAGACATCTGCAAAAACGCATAACGCCTCAGCGTACAAATGATGTTCTTTTGATGATCTTTTGGATAATCAGGTACTGAATCAGCTCCTTCAGCTAAAAGACCCATATAAAAAGAACAGTCACACATTTTATGGTTTTCACTGGCAAATCATGATGATGCCTTAGAGAAAGCCAGCGGGCAGCAACATCTCAGGCTTTACAAAACAAGCAGTGAGAAAATCCTCGTGACAGCCTCCTCCAGCCAATCTATGTGTTCTCCTCTCATAAAAGAAGAGAGAATAAAGAGAAGGGGTTGTGATAACATGTTTTTGTGCATTTGGTAACTAAGAGATATGGTGAAAACTGATGACACTGAAGCAAATGATTCTCAGCTGAATGTATTCTCAATTTACAAGCGTATACTGTATCTACATCAGCATCTTATTTTCTATTTATCTGCATATTTTTGGTTCAAATATTGATTTTCATTAAATGCTTTGAATGCAACTTAAATGTATAAATATCTCATTTCTCATGACTTTATTTCTTTCAGTCCTTACAAATATGTAAATGTTACCTTTATTAGACTTATTTACTTTTTTAACTTTTATATTTTATATATACTTTTATATCCCTTCTATATGTTCAAACTATTAGTTAATTCAGTGTAAAGTAATATACAGACTGGCTGCATTTTAATTAACCATCAATATCCAGAATTTACCCAGTAGATCTAGCTTCTGTCTCCTCTTCAAATGACTCCTTCTGTCCCTCATATTGCTGGACCAATGCTCGGACACTCCAGCAGGGGTTCTCACTGTCCTCCTCACTACTGCAGCCACGACTAAGAGCAACAAAAAAAAAGAGAGATTAGAAACTGTAAAATGCTGTTTCAAGGATGGATGATTTTTTTATTTGGAAGCTAAACGGATTGTCAACACTCTCTCAAATATTTTTCATAATTCTGGCCTGTTTCAGGCTTATGTAAACTATTTTCAAAGCTTCAACAAAGCATATTAAAGATTGTTGCTAGAGTTGACAGCAAAGCATAAGTTGAGGATGAAACTGCAAATCTGATTTTCCATATGCTGCCTCTGAACTGAGCGGCAATACCCTCAGACAGCAGCAAGAGGGCATCTGTTCATCTGTTAAAGAAACAGTTCACTCTAAAATTAAGTTCTTTTTTGATCATCATTTACCCATTGATATGACTTCATTTCTTCTTAGAAATGCAAAAGCAGACATTTTAAACAATGTCCTGATTGGTCTTTTTCATGCATTTACAATGAATGGGGACTGAAGCTTTCCAGCTTCAAAAACGCTGCTAAAGTACCATAAAAGGATTATAAAAGTCCAAAATGTAAGAATTTTTCACTGATAACATTTCACCGACTCAATTGCTTTGTTCATGAACTGGACATTGTTACTTCTCTCGTGTACGCATCAAGAAGAGTTAGGGTGGATGTCAAGATTTTCTGTGCATAATGACGTCAATTTCAGCCTCACATAAAGTTGGCAATATGAAGGTGAGTAAATGATGACAGAATGTTATTTTGGGTGAACTATTCTTTTAAGCAAAGCCAATGAATCTTCTTAAAATGAGAAGGAGAGCATGTCCAAACTTCCGTTTAATACTGTAAAGAACAGTTGCTCTACGACAGCAATTCTACTTCAATGAATAAAAGTTTACAAAACTCTATTGAAGAATGAGAAGGAGAGAAAAGGCACAATATGTACCTCCATTCTTGTCTTAGATGGAAGACGGAGCGGCCAGGGCGTGCGGCATCCTGCCTGGCTGCTGCCAGTGCTGCTGCTGCATTCTGGGCCATGGCCATGGTGGAATGAGGCCTGTGATTGGCCGAGGAGCCAGTGGAACTCCTGCCTACACTAGCTCCAGCTCTGTGACTGGCTGATGCGGAGGGTTTAAAATGTGCAGCCAGAGCGAGGATGAGCCTCATGGCGGATTTCAGGTTCCCCTCCACAATGTCTTTGAGGACAGAGAGAAAGAAATAAGTAGGTCTATCAGCTTAAGTGTGATTAAGAGTCTGCTCTGTAACTCACCCCTGGCAGACGTCTGTGGCATCCTGATCCGCTTGGATGACACAAACTGCAGAACCTTCTCCACATTCTGCTTCTTCTCCTGATCGTCCCGTGGCACATAATGAATGCCATCCAGCAGCTCACCAGCTTGCCAAATAAATAAAACACATCTCAATACCAAGTTGTGCATTATATTAGAGTCTTGCAATAATTGTGGTATATGAAGTATAGACTTACCCACTATCTCAATGAGGTGTGCTAGGACCACACCATCTCTGAGATCCTGTCGTAGATCACTCACAGGTTTCAGTCCAGGCTTCTTCCTCAGCTGTGCATTAACCCAAGACACATAGGCAGCCAGTTGCTGCTAGAAAGACAAACATGTCATACATGTGAATGCAAACTTATTATAGTCTATCGCTCAAGGGCAGATTGGGCAAGTACCCCCAATGCCAGCGCCCAATAAAAGCTTTTTGCAATGTGTCCACCAGGTTGATATAATATTGTTCTATTAATGACTATATGTGCTGTTAAACTGCATCCCAGAAAGACACTTATTATTAGTGCTGACCGTCCTGGTGGAGAGGTTGCACAGGATGTGCCTGTGTTGATACCCACTAGGATACCCGTTGTCAAAAGAAATTTATGCCTCAGTGCTCAAGAAGCACCAACTGTGACAGGCCAAGTCCCTCCCCATTCACCCCGGACCGGTCAGCATCACCCATGGATTAGTCTGACTTGCACTTTCTCTGCCTGGTCACAAAAGGAGAGCTTAACTCCCCACGCTCACGCTTCCTCTTCAGCAAATACATGTAGGAACACATAAAGACTGCAGTGAGGTTTGCCGCAGTTCTACCCTCTGGCAAATGTGCTGTGCACTGAACAAAATATGATTTTTTTTTTTACAGTGCAGAAGAATGTGGGGTGGCTGCAGGAAAATATTACAGCAGGTGGAAAAAGCAGTTTCTTATGTGAGCTAAATAAGCCCAGCAATAACTTAATGACACAAACGAACCATAAAGGTATCATAAAAGTCATCCATCTGACTCATATTTCAAGTCTTATAAAACCATACAATGGCTTTGTAGGAGAAACAGACCAAAATTTGCATGCTATTCACGGATAATATCTCCCACAATTGAGCTGTTATCCAATGCGACAGAAAGCCGTGAGTTGTACTTGAGAACCTCTATTGAAAGAGGTCTATTGAAATGTCTTCAAAATGTCTCTTTCTGTGTTAAAAAAAAAGACAAAAAGTTTTGGAGTAAATGAAGAAGAAAATGGAAACGATAAGTAAGATTGTGGGGTTTTTTTAGATTCATTTTTTTTATTCAGCAAGGATGCATTAAATCGATCAAATGTGACAGTAAAGATATTATAATGTTACAAAAAAATTATATTTCAAATTAATCCTGTTTTTGAACTTTCTATTCATCAAAGAATCCACAAGAAAATGCACAGCTGTTTTTATCATTCATTGATAATAATAATAAATGTTTCTTGAGCACCAAATCAGCATATTAGGCCGCATTTTCATTACATGGTTTAAGTGACCCAATTCAGATTTTTTTTCCTCCCATGTGGCACAGATCAGATATGATCCATGAACATGTAAGCAGGAAAAAAGCACATGTATTCCAATGCTCTCAGATCGGTTTCAAGCCTCATTCATATGTCGAAATAAATCTCATATGATTTGGATATGTGCATTTGTCTGCCATGTAAGCGGACAGATCGGATATTTCTGTCAATGCGACTCGTACGTCATACTTCAACTCAGGTGGACACCAACCGTGATCACATGACTCTTTTCAATGGCACAATGGATGCTCAACCCACTTAAGAGACTAAAGTTTTGCTGAGATTTAAAGATGGTGCGGGAAGCAAAAGCTTGTATAATAATTTCGCCTGCGTCCATTGCAAATCGCTCCTCTATACTTCCTTTTCAGCCTAAGCTTTTCCGAGTCAGTGTGTATACCTTGGGTTGTTTCGGCAAGTATATCTGTCGTGACAACTCTCAGAGTGTTTGGCATGGTAATGGGTATGACAATATTGATATATTTGGTCTTGGCGGCAGAATAGATCTGCTACACTGCTGCTGTTATTATTGCTGCTGCTGTAGGTTATTGCTACTGCCAATACATACACGACACACTCCTGTGAGCAAGTAAGACAAGCTGCTGCTGTACAATATTACATAGATGAATTACCTGTAGCAGATCTATACAGGTGGAGCTGGGAACTGGAACTACTATAGCAAATGCTAACCAAGTATTTGAAGGTTGAGCACGCAAGCTCATTGGCTACTGATACAGCAGGAACCAATCAGCTGCCCCATATAGAGAATTCAAACAGGTTGAGTTAAGGACCTATTAGCATGGGCAATCTAGAGTTTCATGACAGAACTTTGTACATATCGGGTAACTTTTAATAGAAGATGTTAGCTGGACGACAAAAAAAGAAAGGGATATAATCAACAAATTGGAATTGGGCTGCAGTATAAATGCAGTCTTAGAATGATTTATGAAGGATAATAATGTGACACTGAAGACTGGAGTAATGGCTGCTGAAAATTCATCTTTGCCATTACAGAAATAAATTACATTTTAAAATATATTCAAAGAGAAAACAGTTAAGGTCCGAAATTCGCGTCCGAAATTTTTGCACGTTAAAAAATAAAAACGACCTCATGTTTTGTCAATCACGTTTACACACTGCCTCTGAAACTTTCTTCCATCATAAAAAAATTCGGATCGGGTTCGATTTTCTGCGTTTTTCGCATCCGTAGCAAGCCTTTTGAATGGTGTTTTGACAATTCAGAGCCAACGAATGACGAATACGAAAAAACGCATACGAAAATCACCTTTAGGACTACTTTAAATTGTAATACTATTTATTACTACTGTTTTTACTGTCTTATCAATCAAATAAATGCAGTCTTGGTGAGATTAAGATACTTCTTTTTAAAATAAAACAAAAACCTTATCGACCCCAAACTTTTGAATGTAGTGTATGACCGAAATTGGACATCCATGATGCCAAATGTCACTCCCTGACAAAATACAGTCTGCTATTATTCTAAAACTGTGGGTAAACTTTTCCTGGGGCCTCAACCTCCCAACCAACATCTAGTAGTTGTGTCATGACCCATGACACGTGCACAGTCAAGAAAACACATGCACAACAAAATGAGCTTTGCGGGTTTTTCACAGGCACCCTTCATGCACCAACTGTGCACAGTAGCGTTTACTGATTTGCCACATGGTGGGCTGACTAACACAATGCAAGCTCTGTCTGAAGCATATCTGTCTCACTTCAATCTAACAGCGACCCAGAGTGACAGACTTCTCAGGAAGAACAACTAACACAGAGAGCATTCAGCACAGATCCAGCGTAAGATGCTGACTGTGCTGTAAAACTGGAAGGTAGCAATAGTCTTGTGCTGCCAGCTGTACAAATGAGCTGTCTGTTCCCACAGCGACACTACAGATGGATATATCTCCATCACTGGAACCTGCTGCTGCGCTGTATTCTCACCTTATATTCTAGGTGGAACTGACAGCTGGGATTCATAACAAAAAATCAATGATGGTTTGAGAACAGTGCTTGATGGTTTAATGGTTACAGCCGCAGGGCAGGCAGATGTAGAAGCACTCAGTCTTAGGTAACATCAGTAGGGAATGTCAAATGATAGTGCACATAGTTAGAAATGGAATAATATGCTTAACACCTCCTCCCGCACGTAACACCAGTTGTAAGAGCATGATGATATAGCTAGTAATCTTTTATTGTGCAAACTGTGGTTTTTATGGCATAATTCATAATTTACTGTACTGTTTTTATTTATTGTTTTCATTCACCCTTTCCTGTTCAATGTTCATAATTAAAACATTATTTTCAAAGCATTATTAATGCAATTGTAATTCAAGTGTAAATACATTTATACCGCATATATACCTCTGTGGCATTAAACAGTATCTATAAATGCAATATTAATAGGATTGTGTCTCCCATTGATTAACAGATGTCAAGATTATTCTTCACTCAGTTTGGAAGTCTTATGGACTGTTAATGACATGTTACTGCTAACAAACTACTAAAATTAGCACTTTTATGTGGTCTATATGGCATAATGTATTTAACTGTTTTTTACTTATAATTTTATTTCATTTTATTTTTCAATATTTATGATTTCCTATTTAAAACATTATTTTCGAAGCATTATTTCTGCGATTGTAATGCCTTTGTAAATACATTTGTATCACATAATTTATACATATATTTACAATTGTTGTGAAGCATTGTTGTGAACGGTCCCTATAAATGAAAGATTAATGGGATTGTCTCACATTGTTTAACAGCTGTTAAGACTATCCTTCTCTCTGTTTAAACATCTTATGGACTGTTACTAGCATTTTACTGCTAAAACACTTACTGAAACTATCACTTCGTTGTGTAAACTGTTGTATACATGCCATAATTTATAGTTTGTTGTTTTTATTGATCATTTCAAGTTTCAATATTCATAATTTCACATGTAAAACATTTTAAAGCATTCATTTTCAACTCCAAATCTCATGAAAATGCATTTATTTATATAATACATAAATATCTATACATATATTTATGTTTTGGGTGATTTAAACGGTCTATAAATGCATTGTAGGCTAAATATACAACTTCTGCGAAGTGTACACATGACACAGGGCTATTATTACTGCTGTTAACCAATAAACACTGACGGTAAAACTAATGTATACGATAAAGTGTCTCACAAGCATCAAATACTACATGCAAAAAGCAGCTATCTGTTGTTCTACAGTAATATCTCACAGAAGGCGCAAACAATGCCGTCGCACTCTTCGGAGTTTCATACGTAAAACGCCTTTTAAGTTGCGATAGCTACTGTGTTTTAACTTTTCATTGAGCTTCGACTTATCAGAACTCAAATGAGCAAATGAAAAGAATGCACGTGTAAACAGGCATGAGGGTTAATGAGTTCAGTAGTATCAGTACCTCATTAGGACCCTCCTGCAGCACGTCAAGCAGATTTCCTTTAGACAAGGATGCGATCATTCTTCCGACTTCTCATCAAGGTGAGAGTGCGCGAGGGGGGAAATGGTAACGTCCTTACTCAGAAAAAGCGTTTTGACCGCATATCGGAGGAACTGAGGTAAACAAAGGAAACTACAGAAAACACCTCAACCAAGGCAATGGCCATATGTGCCACCCCGTTAGTTCGCTAGACCTGAAACAGGATACGAGGTGGACGCGGATGGGGAGGAGAAGTACTGCGCATGCGTCCGCAGCAGCTGCTCCACGGTCGTTATGGCGACGCTTGAGCTTACGTTGGCTGCTTTACTGTCTCCAGCTTATGCGCTGCAAAGTCTGGTCTGGGACAGTGGAACATTCATATTGTAGCTTTTATAAATAAAATTACTCATTTTAAGTCCACTTAAAACTTGTTGAAAATAAAGCACAGTAGATGGGCTCTAGTCTGGATATCACAGTCTGTAGTCCCTCCTTTTTTAAACCAACACCACAGCACAATATGTAAAAATCATGATGTGAAATCTGAACATTTGTAAGCAGTTTTACTTTGGCTTCATTGTGTACAGCCCCATTAGACCACATCCTTCCTGCCTGCCTCATGCTTCCTGCCTCTATACTTTTCTTCTTTTTTTTTTTAAACTAAAAATCGAACCCACAACAAATAGATATTTTTTTAATTAAAAAAAAAAGTATAGAGGCAGAAGCAGGAAGCATGAGGCAGAGGCATATGGCAGTCTGTGATATAGTGATATCACAGCAGGCGCATCACTATTTTTTTAAATTAAATGTCCATGTCTCCCCCTGCTGTAAGACCTGAGAGGGTCAAACTGAAACATGACACGAAATTGTCAATAAATAATAATTATCTCCTTCAATTTGTTAATAGTGGGAAGCCCAAACATGTCGTCTAAACAATAAATATTTTGTAGACAATTAAATAAATAAGCTGTATTGAGTCCCTGACTTTATTAAAAATGGAATTCTCTTTTTTTTTGCGCAAACTGTGGTATATAATGGAGTAATTTATTGCCTATTTTTATTTATATTTACTGTTTTTATCATTAATATTTATAATTTTCATTTATCTTTTCATGTTTTAATTTTCATTAATCAATAATCATATTTTTTCAAAGCATTATTTTGTCCATTTTAATTCCTGCATTAATGTATTTATTTGTTAATTTCATATAATATATTACCAATACATAATAATCAGCATAAATGCACGATATACAGTTTATATCTTCTGTGCAGTGTACATGGCACAATGGTTTTTATTTATCTATCATCATCTTTATTTAAAAAAGTATTAATTATATAATTAGAAATTATTTTATTGATAGTGATAAAAGCAGATCATCTAAAATATTTAGTAGACAGTTAGCTAAATAAATAAGCTCTACTGAGTCTGTGGCTAAGGTTTACATCTGACCTGTCTTCCACTTCTGAGGGTTTTTTATTGTGATCATCATCATACTTAACTTACAGGTTTGGTTTCTCCACAAATGGTGAATGCAGCATCTTGCTGATCTACAAAGTCATAAACATTTCATCGGTTTTGATTTGTTCACTATTTTAACAGCACATGAAACCAACCGGTTGATGAGTCAAGTCACTCCCTTTACACTTCAACACAGCGTAGAATCTATTTAGGATCTGACTCCGACTGAATCACATCACAAAAAGAGAATCAATAATCAAACTAAAATGTTGTAGCAGCTAAAGATAAGCGGGTTGGTTAACTTAAAGTTTAAACACGTTCTCAGCAGCCTCTCAACATTAAAACTTAGCGTTAGCATCCATAACAATCTATCAAAAAGCAATTCTTAAATTTTGAGCGACCTAACGTTACCTTAGGTTTCTCACGTTTTCTTGACGATATCATCAGCAAGTTTGTTGATTTGCATTCATATAAATATAGTTAAATTTCCGCCAGTAAAAGTAAATCACTGCAGCAGACTCCTTAACTTAGTTTCTATGGTTACTAGAAACAGTGGCACGTGCGCGAAACAGCCATTGGTTTGTTCATTGCGAGTTTAGATTGTTTCAATAACTGACATTAAAAGAGAATGCAAATTCAACAGCGCAACTATTTTCAGTCACCCATGTCGTTATGAAAGCACAAGTTTACCTTTACCCTGTGCTGTTTTATTCTTATTATTATTAAACCGTATTAGTGGTGTGGTGTCTGTCTCCCTCTGCCGTAAAAGATGCGAACTGTAAAGTTGATTTTTGGGATGTCCAGTCTTGCTCCTGAATTTTTTTTTTTAAATTTAAAAATAAATCCCATATGACAAATGTTCAGCTGTTGTACATTTGTTTATTGATACAAAAAAAAAGTGCACAAGAACAACCATACAGTATATAGTAACAAAATTTAAAAAATATATAAATTTGTCAATAATTATAAACCTTATCGGCTTCCGATGCAGTGTTTTACAGGTCAGGAATACAGCATTTAGCACATCAGGCTCACTGCATGTTAAAGACAGTATTGGCAATCTGACATGCTAGTTATTGATAAATGTTTACCACATCCGGAACAGCGTTTGAGTTGATTAGGATTATATTTCATATAGATCAAAAGAAAGTCACAGTCTCAAATAATCTTAAAACAAACAAAACCAAACAATTTACAAAATGATACGCAAAAGTTAATACAGAATCCAGTGTCTCCACTCAACCTGGAAAATTTTATTCAAGCATTTCTAAGCACCTTTCAATAGTATTTCATATCTTTTTCTTTTGCTTAATGCATGCAGAGCTATTTTTTTCTCATATGCTTGTTTTTTCATAAATACTTGTCTAGATACACATCCAATGTTTTACTTGACTTAGTCTTATTTCTCTTTGCTCACAATTTATCAGTGCTGCATTCAATGTAGATACATTTTCAAAGACACTTTAGCTTCCAAATAATGCTATACTTCACTTTTTTTTTATTTTACTTTTAAGTTTTAATTGAGATTTAGATCATATTTATTTTCACATTTATGTAAATATTTCAGACCGCATCACAGCCTACTGATATTTCAAGGGATATAACTCCACTTGGCACATACATACACACACGGGCACCTTTGCTATTACATAACATAAATTACATGTTTTTTAACAAGAGGCGTATACTTAACATGTAAATTACATACTGCCCATTTCTTTTATTTTTATTTTTTAAAACTAGAGCTGTTGAAGCACACAATAAAAGCTTCAAGTACCGCAGAACTGATCTATGTCTCGAGAGCAGAAGTTAACACTCATCGCTCACAGAATGTCTTTCCATGTGTCTGTTCATCATCAGTTTTTTTTAATATATAGTGGGAAGGTTATGGAAGTGTAAGGCCATGCTGGGTTTGGATTGACTAGACATTTGCACCGACCAGAAAAACAATGACAGTGGGTTATCGAGATCTTTTAGGTTTATCATGTTTGCTAAAAATGAAAATACTAGTGCTGTCAAATCAATTAATCGCATCTAACATAAAGTTTATAAATATATAATATATACGTGTGCTTATATATATTTACACATACATATACTGTACTGTGTATATATATATATATTAGTGCTGTCAAATCGATTAATTGCGATTAATTGAATGAAACAAAAGTTTTTGTTTATCTAATATAGAGTATGTGCGCATATATATATATTACATATATATGTGTGTGTGCGAGCATGTATACACACACACACACACATTTATATACAGTATATATACAGTATATATATATATGCATACATAAATGGGTGTGTACACAAATACATATACACTGTAAAAAATTATATGATCAATAAGTTCTGACAACATATTTTTACATTGATTTAACTATCAATAAGTTAAGCAATTTTTGTCTTTTTTATAAGTTATACAAGATTCAGCTCATTTAAGTCAGTTTAATGTAATTTAAGTTGAAATGACTTAAACATCCATGTTGATTGTACTTCAAAACTTAAGGCAGCAACTTTTTTTTTTTTACAGTGTATATATATATATATATATATATACATATTATACAAACAAAACTTTTATGTTAGATGCGACTAATCGATTTGACAGCACTAGAAAATACATAAAAACCCAAAGCTATTAAGATATAGAATTTGTACAGGTTGCATATCCTGTCCAAAGTTTTATATAATAAGTGAAAAAATCTAAAAGATTGCCGTTTTTTAGCCAGATGTCTCATATGTGTTTAAGAGATGGGATATATGCTTTAGAAGGATCTCAGTGTCATCTACATTCAGCTCAGAAAAGCATGGACTCAATGATATGCCTCAGTTTCCTCAGCCAATGGGCAAGAACCATTTCAAACAAAAACATTCCTATATAACCACAATTATGATACATTCATAAACTTGCAATTTTAATCATACTTCATACGAGTAATCAAAACATTGTTCCTCCATAAATCGGAGTATTCACGTTTAAAAATGATGGATTGAAAGATTTTTTGAACAAATGAACAGTTATAATTAATGTTTTTCGCTCTTTATTAGGTTAACACTTTATCATACAACAAACAATTTAGACAGTAATGAGCACCTTGTGACCAACACTGACTTGTTAGTACTACTAGAAATGGTGGAGAACTAGCCACCATAAAAAAGAAGAATGTACTGAAGGAAATTTTAAGACCGAAAAGGTCTCTTGGCAGTTTGGACGAAATCTGCCCAAGATATGAAGTCAAGGCCAAAGCATGAGACAGGATGGTCTGTGATCTAGAAGTGCACAGAGCCTGGAAAATAGCACCTATTCACTAGAAACGAGTACCAGTACTGGTACCGTGTGTAAATTTAACAAAGAGCGGAATGACCCCTGAAGAGGTCACATTCTAGTGGTGATTTAACTGCAATGGTGAACTATTGTACAGACTTAAACACCGAAACAACATGAGAATAAGTGCTCTGAATTCAATTTAAAGTCAACCATCTTACCCTGTTTTCACATCCCGGAAATTTCCAAGCTATTTCCACACATTTAAATACGGTGTTGTTTATACAGATATCAGACACACTTCTTGAGGCTCTTAAGTGAAGTTATAAGTGTTGTCTTAACCGCCAATGAACATTCATCAACTTTTTCCTTTTAATTTTGTTTGCTTATTATTTACATACTGTTGCAGGATGGATATAAAGAAAAAAGACTAATAATTAAAAAATAAAAAGTGCAGAAGTCAACAAATGTATTATACACAACTCCAAAGCCACAATATAGCACTGTTGCAATGAAAAAACAAATAAGTGCATTTAATCATGTAAACTTGTAAATAAAGCCGCAAAATGGAACATAATCAAAGAAAACGTTGACAAAATGTTGCTCAATGTGTGAAAAAGCAACAACCTGTAGTGGGCAGTCTGTCTCTTTGCACCCGAATTTCACGATCTGAAGACGTGCACGGCTCGAACCACGTACTGTCGGCAGATGGGACACTCGTTCATACGTTTCCCGCATTTGCTGCACGTGACCATGTGGCCGCACTCCAGCAGCACGCAGTCAATGGGGGAATCCATGCAGATCTTACACATGTTCTCCTCCTGGCCACTGGGCTCAGCAGGATCAGCTGGAAGAACGGTGAGAGATTCAACGTGTAAAAATAGTATTATCACACACAAATTCAGGAATTGTATTTTTGATTTAGCATTTTGGGGCTAACTGCCATGGTATCCATAAAACATACCTGCTTCTGTTTTTGTATTTGACACTGAAAGTAAAACAAAGGATGTCAATTTCAGTACAGTTTGATGAACAACAAAAAATAGACTATGATGCTTTAAGTTACACTATCGTTCAAAAGATTGTGGTTGGTAAGATTTTTTTTGTCTCATTCTCACAAAGGCTGCATTTATTTGATCAAAAATACAGTAAAATCAGCAATCTAGTGACATATTTTTACAATTTAAAATGATTTTTTTTCATTTGAAATTTAAAGGTGCTCTAAGCGATGTTGGGTGTCATCAGTTCTTGTTGACGTTCGAAGTATTGTCGAAACAAAACGGAGGCTAGCTAGACCCTCCCTCCTCCTCATCCAGTCCCCTCCCCCTCCCTTGTGTTGGTTAGGCGAACATGAACGTCCATTTAGAAAAACAAAAAATGGATTTACCCACCTGTCCAGCAAAAACAGAGCTACCTGAATGTCGGATTGGAAGCCCTTCTGCCGCCGGAGTTCTCGCCACCTTTTGGCTGGAACACTGTTTGTTATGTTTCGTGGAGCGGGTTGGCCCAGTGTGTTTTTGTTGCCTTTTGTGGAGCCTGGGCTGTCTACATAGACCACGGTTTTTTACAGTGTGTTCATGGGACAGGCAGCTAGCGGATAGTGAGGAGATGTTTGCTGTATGTGACAAAAAATGTTTTGGCCTAAAAAATGTGTGACATCGCTTAGAGCACTTTTAAGATGTAATTTATTCCTGTGAAAAGCTGAATTTTCAGCATCATTACTCCAGTCTTCAGTGTCACATGATCCTTCTCAAGAAACATTTCTTATTATTATCAATGTTGAAATTGGGATTGTGCTGCTTCATATTTTTGTGGAAAGTATGAGAAGTATTTTCAGGATTCCTAAATGAATAGAAAGTTCAAAAGAACAGCATTTATTTGAAATAGAAATCTTTTGTAAACATTATAAATGTCACTTTTGATCAATTTAATGCATCCTTGCTGAATAAAAGTAATATCTTTAAAAAAATATATCTTACTGACCCCAAACTTCTGAATGGTAGTGTAGCTATATTATAAACTGATGTTTTTTTAGTTGCATTTATTATAAATTTATTCCAATCTTAGTTATCAATTTATTTGTTATTTCATAGCAGAATATTTATGATATATTGAAAAAAAAAAAAGAAGCTAAACAATAACCAATAATATTTTTGTAAAACATTTTAATGCATTTTTGAATACCATTATAAATGAATTAAAACAAAGCTCTTAATAATCAAAACTGCAATCTTTTGGTTGCCACCACTATTATAGTTTCAGGGCGATCATACAGAAAAACGTACCCAGGTTATGAAGGTCTTTCTGATCATTAAAGAGGAGGGTGACCTTCTCCATTAGTTCCCATTTCTCACAGCAGCCCTGATAGTTCACAAAGTTGCGTGCCAGAATCTCTTTCAGCTGCCGCACGCTGAGGCCTTCGATGTCCTCCACCCTGCTCAGGTCAGACAGAGAGGCTCTTCTGCTGTGCACCAGCGTCTCCTCGCTGTCTGTGGACTAAGAACACGTTCACACAGCAACAGAATACAGTTGTCAGTCCTGTATTTGAGTCCTTAAAACAGTTATATTCACACACAGTTCAGTTATTTGTGGGAGTGACAACCACATTCAATCTATGAACTCAGGACTCACAACCACTTTTTTGGGGAGAAAAATGCTGTGTGAACGGAACCGGACTGGACAACTACTTGTTTATCACGTCATACAGTGCACTAGATCTGCTCTGCACTGCACAAACACGTATCTACTGTGTGTTGCGGGTTGTAATTTTGGTAACTTACAGTGACAGAGATATGAGCTGTGTGTTATCTAAAGGTTTTAGATCCAGTCACTGTATTGCTCCCATCAATTTTGTGTTTTTCACACGACTCAAATGCTCCGCTCTCCACCCAGATCTAAGCTACTGTTGGTTAATGAAGATTTGACGAATGATCTCGCGTCTCGATTGGACACAGTGTTATATCACTTTAGTCACTGGTAAGAGTCCAATCGAGACGTGAGTCCCGTAGCATATTCATAATGCTGACAGTATTCGAGACGGTACTGTGGGTTGCCGTTTGAAGTAAATGTGGTTGTCAATCCCAAAGATAAAACATGACTGCATCACGATGAGAGGCTACTAATACATTGAGAAATACAGTGATGGCATAACGGAAATAGTTGTTCACATACCTCTTCCTCATCATCTTCATCATCTTCCTCACCCTCTTCCCCATCTGCTTCTTCCTCCTCCTCCTCCTCCTCTTCATCGTCCTCCTCCTCCTCCTCCTCCGTGAGGGGTTCAGATTCTGCAAGTGGACGGGAAGGCAGAGGAGGCGCAGGCGGCTGTGAGCGGGATTGGGCACTGCCGCTGCCTCTGGGAGTCTGTTGAGCCAGCACCAGCTCCACCAGCTCCTCCTTCTCTCGACACATCTGCGTGGGGGTTTGGTGCAGGTGGAGATAGTCACGGAGGTCCTTCACCTTCAGCCTCATCAACTCTGCCCGCTCAAAGAAGGTGCAGTGGAGCCGCTGACAGGTGTGGCACAGCCGCGGCCGGAGATCCATCTGCACCGAGCAGCGGCTGCAAAAGTTGTTCTTGCAGTCCACGCAGACATGCTAAGAAATGCAAAAAACATAATATGTTATATCTAAACCGATTTAAGCATTTTTGCTGATTTCATTTCAAAGATATCTGTGAGAACAATGGATTGAAATCAGCAAAAATGCTTAAATCTAATTTTTTTGCTTTAACAGCAGAATTTGAGTAGACTTAACCTGATTTACCGTTCTTGCGGCGTCAAACTGGCCTCCGCAGGCCTTGCACAAGTTATCGGGTGGTGCTGGAAGGGGGCTGGTGCCCGAGTTTGTGTAGGCCTGGTGCCATGAGCTGCCGTTTTCTTCCACGGTGGCGGTGATGTCCACACAGAGCAAGCTATAACATAAGGTCTGCACAACCCATCCTGCACATACAACACAGGTATTACATAGAAAATATAGACATAAATAGGTATACTTATCAGTCAAAATGTTTGCTATTATTTAATATTAACCTATAGAAAATGTGGCTATATGATGAAGGACTAGGGGAAGTGACCCTATCAAACTAAACCCAACATATATAATTTCAAACTCAACCCAACAAAGAAACTTAAGTTTTATGTTTAAAAAAACAAAACAAAAAAACACTTCAATATTGATTAGCCAGCCTAACTAATAAAAGAACTGCAGATTAAACTGGACAAATATAAATTACAGTAATAGTCTCTAAACATTTTCAGCATCCAAGAACCAAGTAAACATTTCTTCTTCATATTATGGTCATTCTAACCTATTTTAACTTAAGAAAGTCTACAGTCTGTGATGCAATCTTTTACCTGGCCGAGCATTTTTAATAGGGTTATCAACCAGTATTAATTATATACTATTAAATGTTTTATTAATATTTTTTTCCATCTAACACTTATTTCAGCTTTATTTAAATTACCGAAAACAATTTGTAATAGTTGTAATAGCAGTGCTATCAACGGCTTTGCTATTTTGAAATTAAACTAGTGAATGTATGTGTCACATTGGCTTATTAAGGTCATTTAACAAAATCAAGTATGATAAAAAAAAAAGTAAAAAGGACAGTTCACTTTGGCCCTGCTCGTTATCCAAGGAATAAGTCATGGTAAAGTGCAACAATACTGCGATTTCTCTATTAAACATTATTGTGATGCAGTAAGACATTTGCAGGTATGAAAGAACCTAAGGAGCTGCCTACCAAGACAACTTTACTGGAATGGGCGCTTATGATGCCCAAAAATGCTGTCTAGGTAGGCAGCTCACTGGGTTTTGAGATACAGCCATAGACAGTATCTTGCAGAATATAATTAGGTAACTGGATGCATTTGAAATCTTACCCAAAATATCCGTTGCAAAGTCCTATTACAGCCATAATATATGTGTTTAATCGGGAACGCATAAACGATAAAATACTATAGGAATGAAAACGCTCTGTAGAGAAATATAGGTGAAATCGCTCTGCAGTTCTCTCGACTAACGCAAAGAAGCACGACGTCAGAACGTGTAATCACGCGAGAAAAGCCGGAGCCTGTAGGCTACTCCAGTGTTGCCATGTTTGGTAATTTTGATTTTTTTTAATCAACTTTTTAAGAAAGCTCTTCAAATAACAAACAGCATTATCATTGTTAAAAACACCACAGTAAATCCAAGAAGCATACATTGAAAAATGAAAATAAAGTAAATAAATTATATAATAATTTAACAAATATAACAAATAAAAACAAAATAATTACTTACAAATAATAAATTAAACTTGGGCATAATGACTTTTATTAATATACATTGCAAGTAATTTATAAAGTTGCCAAAAAACTGAAATATGTTTCATGAACTACAATCTCAAATACAATCAATCTCGATTGTGGAGCCTTCTACTGTATGTGTGTATTTGTCAGACGAGAGTGTTTATTTTACTAGCGAGATCTGGCAACACAGTTTTTTTTTTTTCTCTCGCTTATGCACCGGTAGTTTAGTGATCTATACTGCCATCAACTGGGCTGATACTACAATGTTAGACATGATGTATTTATAAAATATAAGAAATAAAATAAAATATAAAATAAAAATGGCATGGATAAATATATAGAGTAATAGTATATATTATATTATATTATATTATATTATATTATATGAGTAATAAAAAAATAATATAGAGAACACTAAATGTATCAACAAATCTCATCTCATCAGTAACATTATATTATGATCATTACATTCAGATTACATTCAGAATCTATCTATCTATCTATCTATCTATCTATCTATCTATCTATCTATCTATCTATCTATCTATCTATCTATCTATCTATCTATCTATCTATCTATCTATCTATCTATCTATCTATCTATCTATCTATCTATCTATCTATCTATCTATCTATCTATCTATCTATCTATCTATCTATCTATATCTACATAATATATACTACATAAAATAACATGGATAAATAT